AGGGACGGTCCCTGCGCAGCCAACCGTTCCCGCGTTTACTCACCGCCGACAATAGTCCGTTTCTTAGCGCGCTTCTTGGACGCGCTAAGAATGTGCTTCGCCTTTGACAAGCATGGGAGGAGCGCTATCGCTTTGCCAGACGAATCTAAAGCAAAGGCGACATCGTCGGTGGATCGGCTACCAATAACGAGCGACCCGATCCATTTGATTCCTATCCTCCTGCCGTTTCCGTCCTTCTTCTCCCTTCCTCTCCGCCTCTCTTCCTCTTCGCCGCGTGTTCCGTCTACCCGGGGTTCACGGAAATTTGCCGGAAAATGCGGCAGCGAGCACAGCAGTCTGATCTCTCATTCCTTGGACATTCGAAAGCGACCTTGCTACCCTTTGCGGAGAATCAATTCCGAAGCGAGTTAGGGCCGGCAGATAACGCGCGCGCTCTAGCCGGTGATCGCACACATGTAAAGCGTACACGGAGCTCACTTTTTCTCTCCCGTTCTCTATGCAAACAGCATCGGTAAACTCGAGACCTCTTCGACTTGTATTTTACTTTAACTTCTTCTTCTTCTTCTTTTTCTTCTTCCTCTTCTTCGCTTTGCGCTTCGTACCTGCCTTCTCTCGCCATTGCTTCGCCTTTTTCTTCATCTTCCACTTTTCTTCCTGGTTCTCCTTCTTTTTCCCCCGTCCTTCTTCGACGCGAATTCGGAATACGTCAGCGCCGAGAAGTTTCATTATGCCGTTAGAAGTTTCTGACAAGCAAATTTAATCGACACCTCGCCTCGCGCACGATATTTCCTTCTGCAAATCGTTTCCTCGTTTCTTTTCCACCATCCCGCTACCCCGCAGCCGCCTTCTCCTACGTTCTCTTTCCGCTCTGCCGCGGTTTATTATTTCGTGAGATTAACGAGAACACTATCGGGAGGGTCGGCGATAAATAAAATAACGCGGATACGGCAAACAATGGCGGGAACGGCCGAGCAATGTAATAACGAAAGAAAGAGAGGGCCGCGCATTCATAACCTCGGAACTTTCCCGCGTCTTCCGAAGAGCCTGCTGATCTTTATTTTCTATTTTGTAACGGGCGCTCATTGTGCGAGAGTGTAAATAAAAATTAAGGCGCGCCCGGGCCTTTGTTAGGGAAGCGACTGAACGTAATATATGGTTACGAATCCTAGTTAGTTTTA